TTTACATGTTTATTTTTTAATGCAATTTTATTGATGTTTTGCCTTAAATTCTGTAAATTTGTTGTTTCCATCATTTTCATATTTTTACTTTTCTAATTATGTTTTTATTCAAAACTGTTTTCTCAGGCTGTATGAAGCCTAGAGTAACACAATGTTGTCCCTGTTGCTGCACATCGCTGACTGGCTGGGTAAAGAAAACGCTACTCACTTTTCCAACTTACAATAAATACAAATTCAGAAATTTGGGAAATCCTGGTCATGAAAATAGGGATAGTCATGGTGAGGAAACTAAAAGAGCCCCACCCATCACTTTCATTAAGCCAACACTGTTTTAAAGCTAGAGTTTGCAAGCTACAAGTCACATGTATATTAAACATCTGAGTGCAGGCTGGCTATTAGCACAAATAGTCTGTTCCATACACTATATGAGTTAAATCAGGGAGTCAAACCTGTATTTATCTCAAGGAAGATTTCCTCCACCTTTCCCTTTCTATTTTAGCCAAAACTGTGTCTCATACAGCTTTTTTTGTTGGAAGCAGAAGGTCTCCTCTCAGGCCTTTTGTTTTCATACTTCTTCAGTCCTCATCTAGTATAGTCATCGGTGATGGCAGTAATTAGGCAAGGTTTTCAGTATCAAGGTATATCAAAAACTTTAAAAAGTTGCTGTTTCAAAACCACAAGAAAATAATCCCTTCACACTGTTCTCATGTTTTCAAATTTTTAAAGTTACCAGAGCTTTCACTAGCTGTATTGGGCTTAGGGCAATGCAACACTATCCCTCCCCAGAACAGAAAGACGGTATTTTGTTATGTGCAATAAGCACTTCAAAACTACTAGGTGTTAATACAAAATATTTGCTTAAGTCTATGAATTCAAACCAGAATAAACAAATCTTTTAGATAAAACAATAAAACAATGTTACATTAGTTTAGAACCAGTAGAAATAATTGTTGCTTTTCTGTTTATCTATGTTTTAAACAATACTGTGAAACTATGGTATTTTGACTATCGCTAACATTTGCTTCTGAATAATGTAATTAATCTGTAACTCTGTGTTTCTAAATACATAGCTGTGTGCCTAGAATGGCATTGTGCAACATTTGACACATACGCGCAAAGCAGGGGCGGGGTCTGTATGGTTTAACATGTCAGAATAACACCCCACTGCCTACTGCTACATCTGCACAGCAGCACATGAACTAAACAGGGTCTTATGAGCAGTTGGAGAGATGTTGATGTGCAGCAAACTGTGGCGTGAACAGGTGAGTCTAGAGCTGTTCTCTGACCTTGTCTGTGTTGCACCTCTTGACTGATTGTTGCACAACTAATGAAAATTTCCCTGTTGTTTATAACTGTCTACAAATCGCTACCAAACCCGAGCCATTGCTTGTTGCATTATTCCTTTTTTTTTTTTTCCCTTCCAGGGCAGTGCATCTTCATCAGAGTGTCTCAACACATTTAATACCTAATAAAAAGCAAAGCACACCCAAATTTCTCTTGGGGAAAAGACAAATTAACAACACATTCCTCTGTGAGCACATTATGAGCTGCTCTGCAAACTAATTAATTATAAAGATTGCTAAATGCTGGTGTAGACCAAGAGGACTGGAACCTGCTCTGCTTCTCATGCAGGACCTAATGGAGGAGGAGAAATGTACTACTCTCAATAAGCTCATATTGAGTTAGCCCCACACAGCTGTTTATGGCAAAGGAAATATGTCTGTTGAGGGAAAGCAATATGACTCAGGATCTTAGAGTCCATCTGAAAAGTGCTGTTGGGATGTGGAAACATAAAGCCACTCAGAGGAACCTGCATTTCTGTATGAAACAAGTAAAAGAGAATAGAACCGAAGCCGCTGCAGAGATGAGCCTGACAAATGTCCACAAAAATCACAATTTACCACGAAAGTGCCAGCAAGTTACTGTTACCTAAGTAACTGTATGTTGTCAAGTTATCATTGATCTTCTTGTAAAACATTGAAAAAAACAGATAGGGTCCAGAGGCAAAAAACAAATGGCCTGTCAGCTTAATAACTGATACAATTGTAGACTTGGACAAAAATATATATTTCTGGTTTTGGCACCCCAATAATAATGTGTATTATCATCTATGTACATTTTAAAACATATTTTTCATAAATTCAGATTTGTATCTTTTAGATAATGATAATCATCTAAAACTGTTAATTTTCTTTTTTCCTATATTTTTCCAGATCTGAGAAAAGAGATACACTGATAAAACATTTACCGGTTTTGGTTTTCTAGGTCTGACCTGCCAATTCTGACTTGCTGTTGCACAGTCTTTACTGCAGGCCATCATTTCAAGATAAGTGGCAGTCGGAGAAACCTGCTCATTTCAGATATTTAAAAAGACTCAAACTGAAAATGCTACAATATAATAGTAGATATTAAACGTCGTAGCTAAACAACCTATGTTAGAGCAGCCAGATTTGACAAAATACAATATTTTCAAAAAAGCTCACTAAATAAAAAAGCTGCTCATTCTGCTTTGCGTGTGTTTCGGTCGATGACATCACAAGAGGCCCAAATATCAGTCTGCTGACATCAGCCGCCACTCGTCAGTCAACTCTAGGAGTGGAGAAAACTTTTTAATTTTGCAACAGGCAACCTAATTTTACCATAGTGATGCCACTGTTGTTCGCCACGAAAAAAACAAAACAAACAAAACAAAACAAAAAAAAACTACGCAAAAACAGCAACAAAATTATACACAACTCTTGTGAAAATGTTGGCAGTTAATATCCACCAATATAGTACTTCCCTCAAGTCTCATGTCAAGTTTATAAATTATGTTTGTATGAGTCGTTTTAATCTTGAAAATCAACTAAAGTAGGGTTTTGTCCAAATAGTTGTTAGCATTGGACCACTCTGATATTTATAAAAATCTTATACAAGCTCACTGGCATATGACACATTTATATTGCAGGTAAGGGAATTATTACTGATAATACAGAACCTTACTCCAACAAATCTGAACTGTCTCTTTAACCACTTCCTGAAATAAGTGTTTTTTTTATTGTTTACCTGGTGCATGCATGGAGATAATCCTAGGAAATGGGATTTATCCTCAGTGAGTACCTGTATGTGTATGTAAAAAGGTACAGAGTGGAACCTTGCCGACGCGCTCATCAGGCGCGCTGCTTGGAGCAGTATGGTCACCAGCACCAGTGGTGTGAGACCCGGCCTATCATAGTTGGCTTTTCTCACCCTGTCCGGTGCTATAATCGCGTCTTAAATCTCGGTCACCGATCCTTTACGTTCCTTTAAGCATTATTTCCACCAATATTCGCAGCATCGTCGCTTTCAAACACAGCTGCTATCGCGTCAACACGCCGAGGTCACATGACTCAAATAATGCAATCATTTAAAGTGAGCAGTTTATATATAGAGAGCCTAGATAGACGCTGAGAGACGCCAGGCTGCACGGGGCTGCAGAGCTTGATCCGCTGGGGGATTAACCGAGGCGCACGCAAACTGTACACAGTCGGCCAATAAAATACATGCAAATTGACAGCTGCACTGTTATGAACCCTACAGCCGGGTCGGTGTTTTTTTATTTTATCAGTAATGGTAGGGTTGGAAGGGGGGGTTCATTTGCTAAGAGAGAGAATACTACGCTCACAAATAAGTCCTCCTCTAGATGGTTTTAAAGAGGCACCATCGCATACGCCCAGGCTGATTTTACATAGAGCTCACTCCAAGAGGCATTCGACACATGTACCTCTGTTATTTAACAGCTATAACTAACAGTTTATTTTAATATTAATTTCATTTAAAAATGAGAAAACTAGAATGTTTCCTAAATATGCACAATCATGCATATCCTTTCGTCAAATGATGTAATGTTTCCCAAAAGTCCCAGGAGGAACCCGGCAGCAGCGCTGACTAGAACGCCCTGTATCACCGACTATAGCAGTGATAGAACTGACCCCAACCTATTTACCCTTATCGGCCAGAAAAGTCACAACATAAAGTAGTCTAAATGAACAGATACTCACTGTCATCATCTTTATATCGTGCCCTCCACGTCAAGACATGTTAACGTGTAAATCCCAGGTGTTAGACAACACTGACGGTGCTGAGTTGTTTCACAGCTAGCCTCTTTTTATTCTAAGGGCGGGCGGCGGAGAAATTACAGAGAGCCGGTGGATCATTCACAGCAGTCATCTCTGAGTGAGAGGTAGTTGCTTTCACAGATGAGCCCACCAGAGTGAGCGCTGGTAGAATAAAAAGAAGGGGTTTTATAAGGTCAGCGCTGCCTGTGTCCTCTCCTCCCCGGCTCAGCGACACAGGGAGCGGTGCCCACAGTCCAGCAGTCCAGCCTGCGCTCCCTCCACGTCAGCCGAAGAAAAAATAGCCTCCCCGTGCGTAAACTGCTACTCCCCTTTTCCACTGTGAGCTTCCGCGCAGTTTCAGAGATTCCACATAAGCAGAGGGGGAACCTCCTATAGACGAGAGCCGAGCAGCAAAGACCAAGCCATGTGTTTCCCAGCTGGCACAGCTCTGCTGTTTGTGAGTGGCAGCGGCTCTGTGCGCCGCAGCCCGCCTCTCCGAGGAATGACGAAGACACAACACTAAATCTGAAGCCCAGCCTTCTGCACCCACTGACCCCTCAGAGCCACGGATGGACATGCCAGGGCAGAGTGAAAACTTTTCAAATTCAACTGCTTGGTGTTCTGATTTTCTATTTTCCAGAGTTACAGACAGAGAACCTTCGAGATGACCCCGGAGATGTCATGTTGGCTTATTAGGCTACACCTGTGCTATGATGAAATATAAAGCAACAACCAGCCCATATATGCTTGATAGCATTTGTTAACAGGGATTTATTTATATAGTCTGCTAAATTTACAATTCTGAAATGCTCACAGTTTTTATATTTTATAACGTTTTCTAATGTTTGTCATGTACAGATTTATAAAAAAGTAATGTAAGAAAATGAGACCATGACAAATCAATTCAAAACCTTTCTCCATGGCTGCACCGTGGCGCAGTTGGTAGCACTGTTGCCTTGCAGCAGGAAAGTCCTGGGCTCGATTCCCGACGGGGGTCTTTCGGCATAGAGTTTGCATGTTCTCCCTGTGCATGCGTGGGTTCTCACCGGGTACTCCGGCTTCCTCCCACAGTCCAAAGACATGCCTGTTAGGTTAATTGGTCACTCTAAATTGCCCTTAGGTGTGTGCATGGTTGTTTGTGTGTTGCCCTCCCTGTGATGGACTGGCAACCTGTCCAGGGTGTAGGCTGGAGATGGGCACCAGCTCCCCCGCGACCCACTATGGAATAAGTGGTAGAAAACCTTTCTCCCCTTTTTAATGCGACTTATATCTTGTACAATTCAACAGAAAAGGAAACTTGTGAGACAAAAAAAGTTGCAATAACCTTGGCAGGAGTCATTCAGCATTCAGATCAACTTTATTTGCCCAGTCTACCTTGCAAAACATCTCCAATTCTATTAGATTATAAGGACATCTGTTATCCACAGCCCTCTTTAGGTAACTTCACATCTTTTCTATAATTTATTTCGTTCTGGAGTTTGGTTAGGCCATTCCAAAACTAATTTTTTTTCTTTGGATGTGTGTTTGAAATTAGTTTGATGCTGAAAAATGAAATTCCTGTTTATATTCAGTTTTCTTTGAGACCCCTGAAGTTTTAGCACTGAACTATTTGGTACTGTCCTATCACTTCATCCTTTAGAAAAACTCTGGTTCCATCAGAAGAAAAGTAGCCACAGAAGACGATGCTGCCACAAGTGTTGTTTGTTCAAGGTGCATTTTTTGGAACGGTGGCCCAGAAGTTAAAGTTGGGTGTCATTAAACCATAATACGTTCCTTCACAAAATTTTGATAAGGTTTTAGCCAGGCCTGGGTGTTATCTTTGGAAGAAAAGGATTCTGTTTGGCAACCCTACTCTTTAGACCAGACATGTGGAGAATACAGGAGAGATTGTTGTCACATGTGGAACACAACCAGAAGTTGACAGACATGCCTACAGGTTCGTTAGTGTTGCTGTTGTTCTCTTCCCAACCTCCCTGACTAGTTTCCGACTTGTTTTTTCATCAGTTTTGGAAAACCATCCAGTTTCTGTATTCTCACTGCTTTGCCATATTTTTTTTTCAATTATTGATGACACTCTTCTCTGCACCACAGTTTAAATGCCATTGACTTTACTTGTGATCATCTTCTGACTCATACCTTTGTGCGCTTAAATCTTTTTGATCCTTTGTAACCTGTTTGTGGCTTTGGTCAAAGGATGCAAATGAACAAATGCCAGAGATATCCTATTATGACAGCTGAACTTTGTTCCAGATGCATCATATTCACAGTAATTAGTAGGTTTGTACCCAGGAAGTACAAACCTGCTAATTATGTACCGGTAGGAATACTACAATTAAATTGGAAGGTATTTTACCTAGGTATCAACTTATGGGGGGCAGTTATGGGACCAGGTTATTGTGAATTTTTTATATAGCACATCAAGTACTGAAATATGTTTGATGAATTATTTCTTTGTTGAAATTCTTTTGTCAGTGAGGCTTATGCTGTTGGGAAGTCTGTTTTTTGCTGTAAAATGGTGCTACATTTATATGTAAAATCCATTTGTGGGTTAAGCAGCAAAGTAGGGTATAGCTTGCACAAAGTTGCCAAATCTTCTTTGCCAAAACCAAACAACTTTTGGTGGAGGCAGTGTGATTGTGTAAGGTGGAATTTGATTGAAAAAACAAAGCTTGTCATCATAAATATCAAGTTGAGATTCTACAACCAGTGGAAATCTCCACAGTCTGAGACAAAACTCTGTCCACCAAGGTGTCGATGCTTACCTTCCATACAGTAGGATTTAAAGGGAAGCTTCTTTCATAAAACATTTTCATCATAATGGCCTACCTGCTGCCCTGACCTCAACTCCACTGAACACTTGTGGAAATGTTTGGACATCCCAACTGGCTGACTTGCTAGAAATGCTAGTTGAGGACTGGGATGCCACCCTACAGCAGTGTGTGATCAAGCCGGTGACCAGCATTAAAAAGTGGTGCCAGGTTGTTTTGGTTGTGTGCGGTTCTCCCACACATTACTGAGGCTTTTGATTGTTAAACTAATAAATAGGTGAATTTATAATTTGTCTCATTTCTTCAAACTGCAATCATCCAATCCAATGAACAACACCTAGCAAGAGTCATCTTAAACGAGAGAGTTGGCAGAGAGGATTTAAGCAAGTGGGACATAAACAGGCTTTCTAACAGTATAGAATTCAATAACAAATTCATTTTTTATTTGAATTTTCTTTTGTATATTACACATTATAACTAGGAAAAGTTCTGAAGTGAAAACCTGGCTTTTTATCCTGGGCGTGTGCAGTTTTAAGAGCCACTGTATTTACTTTGACTCAGGAAACTAAGCAGGCATGGCCTACAGAGTCCACACACAACACACACACACACACACACACACACACACACACACACACACACACACAGAAACTCCTACGGATGCCGGCTACACTGTAAGAGCTGAACAGGGCTGAACATGAAATTGACTTGCTCTTCCATTGTAACATTCTGTTTACTCTCACAGCAGCTGCTGTTTTACATGCTCCAATAATGGAAATCAAGTAAAATGTCAGAGATAGAGTACTCTAAGGGATGACTTACATATAATCCAAGCATAAAACGGTCAAACATCTAAGAAAATCACACAAACGTGTCGTGTTGCATTGTTGTAAATACTCCTCAGTTATCTTTGTGTCTCACTTGTTTCTCCACTCTTTCCAGCTGACTGGGTGCAGTCTAGATTTGTAGTTGTTTGAAGGATGGGAGCTGTCTCAAGATATAGTGTGTTGGATGTATAATAGTGGCGCAAAGGAGATCATCCATGTAATAACCGAGTAGTACATCAAAGGCCCCCGACTGAGCCTCTTCTTCTACTTCAGTGGGGACAACTCTAGGAGGACAAAGAGAGGACAGCTGGAATCCTGCATGTTGCCACCACTCAACTCCTTGTTGCTGATTTCAACTCTTTATCAGGTTTTCTTTTCTCTGTTGCATCCTCTTAATATTAATCCGTCATTATAAATCGAGGAGTTGTACAGTTATCTAAATGCCTTCAAGGGGAATTAACTCATTTTGGGACTTTTATCTATGAGATAATAAACTCACCAGGTAATTAGCTCATCATGAATTTGCCAACAGGAGGCTGAGATTGTTTTGGTCAGTCAATTACTTGAAGTTGCTCTCTTTGAAGTTCCCATCTCTCTCTTTTTGCTGTCAGTAACTTTAAAACAGTTCTGACATGGTACCCTTCCCCTCAGTGGATTGTTCTACAAAACAATAAAAGCCACATCCAAGCTTCGAGTCAGGAGGGCCCGATGAAGATATCCACAATCTGTCATATCAAAGCTCTTTTACTCAAATCTTCATCACACCTGGAAGACACCAGTGGACTCTTTCTGCACTTTTGATTGAGGAGGTGGTCAAAGAAAGTTCCCTGTGCAACACCACCGGCAGCTCAGATCAATCACTCCTCTTTTTCTTATCCCCTCCTGCTTTGCTATGAAGCAGAAGAGCATTGTCTGTCAAGCTGACATTCAGTGGGAATTACCAATCACTTAGGGGCAGAGACGTGGAAAAACAGACCATTCCAGATGTACAGTATTTTGGAAAGCTTTGCTCTATCTGCCCGGCCTAACAGACCATCCACAGCAGATATCTGGCACGAATCACTAAAGGCCCATTACTGACAGAGAGATAAGGCTGGAGAAAAGAATGCCCCTCAGATAATACGGGAAAGTCAGGAAACATCTTCCTCTGGCTTATATCTGTCTCAGAGGTGTTTAAAAAAAACAGGGAGCTCCTGACAGTCTGAGAAATTGAACCTGTCTCGAGCTTGTCAAAAACTCAGCAGCTCCAAAAAGCGGGAAAGACACTAAAAGTGACCTTGGAGGGTTCTCACTCCCTCTTTCACTCCCTGAGAGTCTTTTTTTTAGGGACTGAGGCATTACATTCACCTTGAAATAAAGAGGGCCCAACAAGATGACAGACATGAAGCATCAGAAACATGACTGTGGAACAATGCCAAACTCGCAAAAGAGAAATGCCCTTGCTGATTATGGAGCACACAGGACCACAAGGAGACCTGCTAAACAGTCCACTCATGGAGACATGTTGTCATAAAAGACATCTTGATGCTTTGCACCACTTCTATGTGCCTTGAAAAACTAGTGACACATTTGAACTTACAGTGTTACATAATTGGGAATGTGAATGAAAATGAAACATTTTCAAAATCTTTTACAAATAAAAATAAAAAAAAATTATTAATCGTTTGTATTCAGGACCCTTTACTCTGATGCCCCTATATAAAATCCTAATTTGTGAATAAAGCAAATGTTTGTGTCATTTAATCTGAAAAATGATCAGACCGATGAAGGTCTGGACAGAGCCAATGAACTGAACACATTCTTCAATAGGTTCAGTTCAGAAACAAGCTCAGCATCCTCCTCTCCTGCTCACAGCCAAACAGACATCCCACCCTCCTTTGACCCCCAGGACCCACAGCTGTCCAGTAACACCTCAAATGTTTTATTTTCCACCTCAGCCATAGACCCTTCTGCTTCTACATGTTTGCCTTCAACCATATCAGAAGATGCTGATGCTCCCTTTGCCTCCCCCTTCCACCTGTGTGTCTCAAGAAGTCAGGTGAAGATGCAACTGGAGAGACTGAATCGGAATAAGGCTGCAGGTCCAGATCATGTCAGCCCTAGAGTCCTGAAGGCCTGTGCAGAGCAGCTCT